TTCCAACTAAAATACAGTGCATTCCCTAACAAATACCATATAAACCTAAGTTCAAAATTTTGAAGAACACTGAAAAAAAAATTCATAAAATTTCAAACATTCTTCTCAAAAGTGTAAAGTTTTTTTTAATCTACAGTTTTATAGCCAAAAAATTTAAAAGCGCACTTAAAAGGGGAAAATTGTAGGTAAAATGGTAAATGGGGTAAGAAAAATTTAGGTACTTAAGCGGGTTGGGTAACTAAGCGGGGAGGTACTTAAGAGAGCGATTTTCTTCAGATTACATCAAAAAATTCACGGTGCCCAAAAATGCAGGTTACTTAAGCGGGTTTCACTGTACCTACAGTGTATCGCTGTTTTTAGCTGGAGTATTTGGAGATTCACATAGCCTATTCGTACTCTATTACACATTTTTTAAATTTTTATTTAACGTATTTAAGATTTTATTAATAGCATGTACATACACGCATACATATGTACACATTTCCATATGTGTATACCGAAATGCAGTTATGTATAAAAATGCACCGTAATTTAAATGAAAATGATTCATAGTAAGTATGTATTTTTAATGCACTGGGCTCACTCTGTGTTAATTAATTTCGCTTATCACTGAGCAGCTCATTTCATAATACAATTCAAATGGTTTAGCGTGCAACAACAACACAAAAAAAATATATAATAATTGTTTTGCTACAAATATTGTGCACTAACAATGCAAACGTAAAATTCAAATTCGGTGCGTTACAAACGAAAAGCCTCACGAAAAAAATACTAAATTATGTATGTACATACATATTTACATACATATGTACATACTCGTAGTGTAGCTATTATGCATTCAAAATAGAATTCGCCATTTCCATGTGGAAATGCCGTATGGAAATACCGCACACACCCCCGTTGCTTCACTCGAAAATCGTTTTGTCACGTAATGTCCATAAGCGTCGAATGCCTTATTTCAGCTATAAAAACTTAACAAAAAATACTTTGAACGCATTCACAAAATCTTCTAACTTCAACATCAAACAGCAAATTTACGCAAAATGAATAGATTCCTGGTAAGTATGGCACAGTGTGACGGCAGCCTAGCCTAGCCGAGCCTAGCCTAGCTGCTCCTATTGCTACATATTTCCCCTACTGCATGTATGTACATATGTATGTATAGTATTGGATTAACACTGTTGTTGTTGTTTATTGCATATTTTTAGTATTCCTTTGCAACCATTGTGGCTGTTGTCAATGGCTACGCAATTGGAGGCGGTCAGTATGGTGGCTCCAGTGGCTCCAGTGGCGGCGGTGCGGTGATCGGTGGAAGTGTCTATCAACCAGCTGTTTCGCAGCAAACAATTGCTGTAGCGGTGCCTAGTTACAGCGCTTCCTCCGGTGGCTACGGCGCTTCCTCCGGCGGCTACGGCGTTTCCTCCGGCGGCTATGGCGCTGGTTATGGTGGCTCGTCAGGAGGATATGGTAGTTCGTCGTCCATTGATATAAGCAGCTTGTTATTGGCAGCCGGAGGTGAACTCGGCACACAAAATTTGGCTCAACTGGCATTATCACTGCCATCAGCTGGAGGTCCGCTAATTGACACCACTGGTCTTTCCTCCTACAGCGGCAGTGCATCTTATGCTGTTCCATCGGGTGGCAACCTCGCCTATGCTATTGCTCCAGCTCCGATCGTACACCATGCTCCAGCACCAGCTCCAAACGTATACCAAGCTCCTGCTCCTCTAGCTGTAGCTCCACATCATGCGGCTGCATTAGCGCCAGCACCCGCCGCAGCTCGTAGTCCTTCAGCTGCTGCTGCTGCCAGTTACATTTCAGATAATAGCGTTGTTGCTGCTCCAGCCTCTGCTGCCGCTTATTAAAATCTGTGATATTAAATATTTCTACTAAATTGTGCATGTTCGATGTTAAGTTCAGAATAAAATGTGATATTTCGAACAAAGAAAAACACAAAAGATAAACTACTTTTTGATACTTTAACGGTTTTATATACGTTCGATATTAGAAGTAACTCGATTTTTGGAATGGCTTTTGTGGGACCCAAGCGCTCAAATTATTCACAAGTTTCCTTTGTATGTAGGTAAATGAAATGCGCATTCACTGAAAGCTCATCGGATTGACGTGTCACTCTAATCGAAATGGACGTTAATCTATTACTAACAAACGTTCAGATATACTATGCTACATAGCTGAGTGATTACCTAATTATAATGCCAATACTCTTATTTACATATGTACATATGTATGTACCGCACATGGACATTAGGGTAGTCTTTACATTTGCAAGTCGTAGGCACTTACTAAAAAAATTTTGAACCGTTTGGAAAGCGTTTGGTGGAACCAAAATCCAAAAATTTTTTGAAAAGCGCAATGCTATGTATTACACAGCCCAACGAAACTTTGGCACAAATTCAAAGACGATAAATGCAAAAAGACATCCAATTTCTAAAAGGTGCAAGAGGTGGGCGCGGTTGTTAAAACCGATGATNGCTGTTGGCAAAAATTTTTCCAACAGAAACTAACAGCTTCCCCTCAAAATGAAATGTCACTTTGCTCTCTCAATTTCCCCTACTTTGCAAGTTTTTTGCGTACGCGAACGCAAAAACCTGTAAGTTTTGGTTAAACATGAACAATTAACAGCTACGCGAACGAACCTAATATAGTCAGTAATTGCGCGCTTATAAGCTTAAAGAAGTCGCGGCACAGAGAGGTACTTCTCAATTCGGACGGAGCTGATGGTGTTGCTTAACGCCTTAAAGCCATTTTACACAACCATTTCAAAAATGTACATAGGTCCGCAAGCTCTATGGTTGTTCTTCTTGGTATGCAGTTGCAGATTCAGGACTATATTCAAACCCGACTCTTGCGTGTCCGTTCGCGCACTCTGGATAATGTGAGAAGCCCACTTGTGGGATGCGGTAGTGAATCCTTGTGAAGTCTTGGGCTACGGCAGAAAGAGAGTGAGTCTTGGTGGCTCCCCTCCGACTTATTTGACTTGCGGTCCGGCTGCAAGCGGACGTCTGCCTTAGAGCACATACATAGCTTGCTCTAACTATGTATATTTACATAAATGTGCAGGTTATAAGACCCTCCCTGAAACGGATTGTGAGCTGGGATTGGGACACGCAACATAAAACCTAGCTCCATAGAATACAAAATAGACAAAAATCTTTCCTCTCGGCACCCACGATGGAAGTAAGGATACCACAAACATAATGAAAGCAGCAAGTGCAAAAGGACCTTTCCACAACTGGTGTGAACAACACCAAGGAGAGAGGAGCATGTCGAAGTTTTTATCTTGACCCAACGGTGGTTAAACGGTTGTAGCGTCAAATAAGAAGAAGGATTATTTCTAGGGTGATAGGAAATTCAGATGGTTGGCTCGCAGAATTTGTGCGAATGGAGAATGCCTGTTTCCTGATAGATTTAAAATGTCGGAAGCCTCACCGCACAATAGTTCAAAATTGGCATTTTGTGTTCACAATTCACTGGAGCCTTCGTTTTTCACTCAATTTGATTTTAATTTTTTTTTTTATGAAAGCTATTAAAATTTTAAAAAGACAAGTTGGGCCCGTTTTTTGAATTTTCGCTTGTTTGTATTAATTTTTAAAGTGCAAAGTGCAGAAAAAGTTGCAATTTTGAGGAAAGTCGATTCTTCTGTTCCAGTTAATAAATGTTATTTAATAAAAACTAGTTTAGAACCATTGTAAAGTTCTCCCAAAACGAAAAAATTTAAAAAATTCAAATCTTATACAAAAATTTTCACTAAAATTAATTTTTTTCGGTTTTTTTGGGTATGCAGTTTTATAGATCATTAAATTTTAGTAGATATAATAAATTGCAAGTTGCAAGTAGTAGTAGATGTGCTCGAAATGTTAGCGAAAAAATTATTAAAAATCAACGCAACCTCTTAGCCACTCATTTTATTATACTAAAATCGAATGATCTATAAAAACCCAACATTTTTCTAGAAACTCTATTTTTTTTTTTTAATTTTGGTGAAAACTCAAAAGGCTGATCCCGCGGCATTTTGCAGTCACAGCTGGGCACACTTATATTGCAGTTGGCAGCCATGCGATTTTCCGACCATATTCTGCATACAAGTTGATAAATGCAATTCAATCGGCAGGTCGTATTTTTTATCAGAGCAGGGTGGTAAAGTATACATAATTTACTTAAGTATGTTCCGCACATCATTTACTAGTTTGCCGCGTTTGTTCTTAAAGGAATTAGTCCTGACATGAGAACCTCCATAAGTCCCCTAACTTTCTTACAGACTTTTCGGGCTTTTTTCCTGGCGGCCGGCGTTTCAAGGTCTTTGGAATCACGCATTTCTGCCTCGGCTCACATTCACAATTTTGAAATTATCTTAAAACCTTTAAACTTCGGGTATTATAATTTTTAAAATTAATAATAAAAATCAAGGTATTTTTAAAATGGATTTTGTATGAAAAATTATTATGATCGTTAAGCAAATAGATAACTTCATTTAAATATTAAATCTGGTCAGGTGTTTATATTTTTTATTAACAAGAAGCTGTGAATAACTAAATTAATTTTTCAACTGGGACAAGCACTTTTTCGATACATTTTGGTTATTTTATCGATTTTTGGCACGCCCACATGAAAGCAGGCTATGCGGCAAATTTGATCGAAATCGTGAGTTATCACTACTTTTGTGACGTTTCATATGGAACGGCCGTTTGGTAACTTAATTAGCGCTAACATCACAAAAAAAAACAAAAATTTTGAGTAAATTTACTAGCAAGTTTACGACTCAGACGAAAACTAGCATGCGCGAGCAAGTTGAGTTTAGTGCTAAGTCTCGCCTACTAACCGCCTACGAAAATATTTTGCGACCCGAGACCAGTTTTTTTTTCATGAATCCAATCAAACTTATGACGAATTGGTTAAAATTGTTTGCAGATCGTTTTACGCTCAATTATTATAGACTGTAACGGAATTGAGAAAATGCTACACTTCTCACATTGATGAACAGCATTTATCAGCCAAAGACGTGTAAGCCATTCGCTGCGCAACGCCACAAACAACGCTCCCGACTGACGGTTAATAACTTCTTGCTGCCTTCAGCATGGTAATCTTTACGCTACCCAGTTGCAGTTGGTTGAATTTTCATTGAATGTGTCACGTAACCGCTGCGCAAACGGTCGGACGGTCAGCATACACTTTTTGGAATCGGCATATAAAAAGCATTTGAAATACTTTTGCCAGCTAGTAGTCTAAGTTATTTCAGAGGCAAAAACCCACTCGACACCACCAACCACCAAAACCACCAAAATGCAACGTTCAATTGTAAGTAGCTCAGCAAAGTAATTGTGCAAGTATGTGCATGTGAATAATCATTGCTTCATCTTTTCCGCCTCTAAATATGTACAGTGCGCCATCGTTCTTGTTCTTGCTGTTGTGAATGCAGCTCCTTATGGTAGCAGCAGCGGTGGCTATGCCGCCCCTTCTCACGCCCCAGCGCCAATCTACAGCAGAGAAGCCATAGTCAGTCAAGAGGGGCCAAGCGTTTTGTATGATATTCCTGCTCCATCGCACTGGAACTTAGCTCCCGCAGCAGCAGCCGGTCCCGTACTCACACCAGTCAATGCCCATCACATCTCTGGCTCTGGTACACCATCGTCGCTGGTTGGCATCTCCTCGCAACCAAGTGCCATTGCTGCTGCAGCTTCTGCCAACGTGCCACTGAACGCTGACTCGTACAAACTTTTGATTGTGCCCTCCTATGAAGTGCCCAATATAGTCGGACCGGAGCCAGCGCTTCCCGCCCATCGCCCATCATCAGCTGGTATTTACGGCATTCAATCGGCCAGTTATTAATTCAACGGCCTTTGAAGTTTCCAAATGAACTTAATGAGACTTTGAATTAAATACACGCTCTGGAAACAAAGTCCTTAATTAGTGATAAAAAAACTTTGTTTTATTTTGAAACTTTTTAACGGTATAAAGTCTGCTCCAGCATTGACTTTGCTTGCAAAAAAAACTAAGGTGAAAGGAAACTTTTCTAAATACTTGCTACTATGAGAAGGTTGTAAAGCCATTGTTGGACGGTTAGTAGCCAGGCCCTCCAGTTTCTGAAATTCATTTGAAAGGGTAAAACGTTCGATGAAGTTTTGTTATCCTGGTTGGAGAGGTGTTTGTTTATAGTTATTAAGCGGGCACTTCAGGGTACTATTTTATATACATATATACAAGGAAAATTTGAAAGTTAGGGGGGCTCGAGCACCCCCCTGCCCCTTCCTGGCTACGCCCATGTACGTAAGTTGGCAAATCGCCGAATTTCTAGTCTTCTTAGAAGCAAAGAGTCTTTCCTTTGAACTTCGGACTAAAACCATTCTAATGATATATAACTGTTTATACCTTAGAAGTATAGTTTAGCCGCAAAAGGGGTGTGAAGAGAACATGATTGCCTATTTATATATAAGACATATACATATATACATATGTCTAATCTCTAATCTCTAATCTGTATTTAAATTCAAGTGAGCCGAATGGAAGAAAGTGCAAAAGGCCTCAGCAAAAAAAAATATATATAAAAAAATCAACTATAATTTTTAGTGCACATTATTATACTAAAATTAAATTGCCTTCGAAAAATTCCGAGTAAAAAGTTTACAATTTTTATGAAATTTGTTTTTTCATTTAATTTGTTGAATTTTTGTGAGTTTTGCCCAAATTTTACTTATATGGCAGCCAATAGCCCGAGCAGCTAGCGCTGTAACTAACTATTAAATTTTATAATTTATTATAAATTTAATACAACAAATAAATAAATAAATAAATACTTATATGGCATATGTCATACAATAAGATATATTTTCATAAGATATTTGTGAAAATATATGACATTTAAATTTTGCATTTTGAATTTTTTTAAATGGAATTATATGAGTGCGGGGAGTTTCTCCGAAAATCGGCGAATTTTGCGGTGGCCTGCTGTCAAACCACAATTTTACTCTCACAAGTGGGAGTAAAAGGAGAACAGATCCAGAAGTGTACGGAAACGCTAAAAGCACTTTTTCAAATAAAAACGACAGTCGGTTTGTTTACATGACATTGATACAACACTGATTTGGCTGCAATATCACAAAAAAAAAATATTAAAATCTATACAATTAAGAATAATTGCGTAAATATTCAAATGTTTTGTTGTTTACCTCCATTTTATTAGCAAATAAATATACTTTGTTTACAAATGCAACCCTGCCTATCGTTTGACACTTTTCATGAATTTGCAGAATGAAAAACTCCGGACTAAATCCAGTAACTTCTGACTAGGAAGAGTTGCTCAGTTATTCTCTCAGAAGTATTCCCACTTGCAGGGTTTTTGTCTATAGGAACGATTTGCTGTAAGTTATACCGAACGAATGCCGGTAGAGATACCAAACTCGAAAAAAATTAAATTTTTAGAAGATAAAAATGAGGTCAATGCTGATATTTTGCTACGAATCGACAAAGAGCTCGTACCACCGTAGCAAACGCTTAATGAAACATTGTCGGGCAGGTTATGCAATTCACTTCCGAGTGAATCAGCCAATTTGAAATGAAAGTGAGTTCGTTTGAAATTCACTAGGAAGTGAGTGCCTGTTTATCTTGACTATTTGAAGAGTTTGTTGTATTGCATTCGTCGGTCCGAATTTCCTAAAGAAAGAAGCTGACGATTGTTGCCGTTTCGTCGATCAGATCTATTACCTGAGTTTTTGACTACATATTCTAAAACATTAGTCACTATTGACAAAATTTATTGAACATTTGAAGGATGCGTCGGTCAATGAGGTTGTTCACACTTGCTTGATTATCAGGTTATCTGGTTATGTGGTTATATTTTTTATTCAGCTTACAACAATGAAATACATATATAGAATATTGTGGAATCGGTATATTGGGCACTATTAAGAGATTTATGGCTTTTACTAGATATAGTGCCGGACATAATGATAACGTCACCCTATTGATAAGTTTTGACTATTTTATTATTTTTTTTTAAATCAAGGTTAATTTTTTTTTGCGTTTGACATATAATAAAATCGATATATTTAGAACCAAAATTCAAACTTTGCACAAAAATAAGCAATTTTTAAGCGAAAAACACAACCGAGTTCAAAGTACAGGAGTGGCGTTGATTGCTTCATGATCCGATAATTATCGGAACTAAACCAAATGGGTATGAGCCCACTTTTGGGGTACCACCTTTCCGAAAACGGTTCACGTAATGCAAAGTTATCCGGTGACATACATTAAAAACTGTTTCGATGATAACCTTCCTATTCTTTTTGGAAGTAGGTTAAAAAATCAGAAAAGCTGCATCAAAATTTCACACTTTTATTTAAAATTTTAAAGAAAATTGCTGGATATGCAGTTTCATGTAGTTATATGCAAAAAAAAATTCCGAACATGTAAGAATAAAAGTTTGCAGATTTTTCAATTTCATTCATAATAGACAAGTTTATAACTCCATTATTTACCAGATACGCAATAAAGAGACTGCCAGTTGATTTTATAGGCTACTTTCACTTTATCTCAAAAGAATGATGAATGGGCCTCAATGTGACCTGCTGTTAATGACCACCAACAACTTTGACCTACTTACATATACATATGGATGTATGTATGTATAATGTACGAGTACTAAGCACATATATTTTGCTTCACCTGTGATAAGCCAAGTTCAAAGTGCAAAGACTTATCAGGTGATAAGAATTGCCCAATTAAAAGCAAGTGCTTCAGCGAATTTCAAGCATTGATAAGCGCCACCACGCTCAGTCGTGTGGCTTTATCTTCGCTTCATGTTAGCGTAAAGTCTTAAATTCGTTTAGTTTGTAGTGTGAAGCGCTTCTGGGGCCTCTGACTACTTAAAACGTTGCTTCTATGTAAACACGATTGTCGCGCCACACACGGCTCTTGAACCAGACACCGATTACCACCACTGAAAAACTTGACCATATGCTGATTATGCTACTGGAGCCAAAAGTATGATGAACTGCAGAAGAAGCTGAGAATTGTTGTGCACCTAATCTTCGTCTTCTCCATAATTCTTTTTTTGTTTTTTTTTTTTTTACAGAAATAGCGAAGAATGCGTTGAATATCATTTGGCTGCACAGCCAGTGAGTATTTATGGATATTTATGATTGGAAATCACGTTTCAAGCGTTCAGATTTGCCATTGCTTATAAAAGAAGTGCGCCGAGTTTGTTTTAGTTATTAGTATCCAAAGAACTGAGCCCAGCTGAACCCGCCCATCTGCAATACAAACCAAAATGAAACTGTTCGTGGTAAGTTTTCATGCCATTGCCGTCTGAATACTGTCTGTCTGTTATTCACTTCCGATTTAGCTACTTGGGTTACATTTCCGAGTTTAATGTCGAAGCATTTTAATAAACTCTTTTTTTGTTTTACCTTACAGTGTATCTCATTGGCTCTAATCGCTGCCGTGACGGCTGGGCATTCATATGGATCAGCAAATCCTTCAACCTATGGTGCTGCTCCAGCCCTCAGTAGCTACGAAAGTGGATCTTCGGCTAGTGCCGTACAGCAAGTAAGCTTGGCTGGTCTTACGAATTTGGTGGACGTTGGCGCCATTGAGAGATATTTGAATGCGCCCGCACCTTCCCAACACGGCCGCAACTCTGCTTCGTATGCTGCTGCTAAATATGTGGTGGCACCATCAGCACCTAGCGCTGGTCCAGTAATCTCATCGTCTTACAGTGCTGCACCTGCCCCGGCTGCCGCTAGCCATGGTGCTGCGCCAGCTGCCTATGGCGCTGCACCAGCCACCTATGCCGCTGCACCAGCTCCAATTACTTATGCAAGTGCAGTGCCCTCGGTTAGCTACGGTCAACCTGCACCATTGCCCAGTTACGGAAGTGCAGCCGTATCGTCTGGTGGATATGCTGCTTCCGCTGCACCCAAATACGAAGTCCTCCCCGCTTACGTGTCGCAAATCAACGCCGGCAAGAACAACTACAAAACCTACCAGACTCCAATTCAATACAGCACTGTGACCCTCCCAGTTGCGCCAGCGGGTCCAGTTGCCAATTTGTACGTGCCCGAGAACGCCGGCTCCGGCTCCTCTGGATACAGCAGCTCTGGCAGCTCCTATGGTGGCGCCAGCTATTAAACGCATACCAATTGCGAGCACATTTAGTTAAGTAGTAGAGTTTATTGGAGGATTGACCAGTAAATAAATTCAAAATTTTACTTGAAAAAGTTTGTTGCACAAAAATAATAGAGAAATGTTTGGAGAACTTTTTGTTATACTATTTTTTGGTGAATAAAAAAAATGTTGCCTTAATTGAATTGAAAGAGCTTTATTATGGTTTATTAGTTTTACACGAAAAAATATGTCGAGACTTGCAGTGCTAATAGTGAGCAGAGATAGCCAAAGTACCACATAGCATGAAAACGTCGAAATAATGTCTTTGGCTATTCAAAATTAAACGTTCTAACCTTAGATGCCCACGTGGCTCTTTTGCAGTAAGGTTTTCAAAATGATTTTAAGTTCACTCAATGAAATGTTTTGGTTTTCAGCTACGTGAATTAAAAGATGTATAGTACCATATTTCAATGTGTTAAATCACCATTGAAAGAGTTTATGGCGAATACTACAGCCCAGTTTTTCGAAAAAATTTCAAGCATTATAATCCCTGAATAAAAAGCACATACATAACCTAATAAAATTCCATGAACTCTAACTAAAAAGTGAAACTAAAATTACGGTTGAAAATTTGGTCTTAATCTTTAGTTTACTAAAGTAAAAGTCCGCAATAAGCATTTTAAGTGCTCAGCGCCTTTTAGGCCTTCAGCCCACAATTCAACTTATAAAACTAATTGCTGGGTAAAATGTTTAAATCATGGAAATAATAATTCAAA